TAGATGGAGAAATATATTGACAGCAAGTTAATTCAGACTTTTCACTGCAATTGTACCAAATATGGTATTTATTTATGGTTTTTAATTATGGTTTAAAGATATGCCAGGCCATTATTAGTCTGCAAACGTTATAAGTTAAGAGTACCCGTCGTGCGTAGTCTACCTTGACCCCATTCACTTATCCCGAGAAGCTTGCAACGAGCTTGCCATCTAGGCACACAACGACAACACCATATATTATATACTTAAGAGTGTCAAGATTTAACGCGAGTGAAAGGAATAATAAATTATACGAAATTTCTGGGAATAAATGAGCCTTTGGTAATTAAAGTAACCAATTAATTCTACTCTTCTTCTTGTCATCTAAATAATGTTATGAATCTGTGGTAGAAAATAAAATAAGGACGAATCAAAAGTGCTTTTAATCACTCCACCTTTATAAAGTTTATTTTCATTAAATTTCACGATAAATCAAGCAATAATCAACAGTTTCTCATTTGATAAGTGACTTCGTAAGTTTTACTAGGCGATTGTTTGATGTGATATTCAGCTATCTTATACCCACCACTGCTGAGTTACGGGCCTTCATGATAGGCAGAAACAAATACGGGAACACTTCATTAGCTATGATTACATGTTCCGAATGTTGATTATATATTTATTTCAAGTAACAAAGACTCATATTATACATGATACATTAATTATTTATTATTATTGATTTATCAAATTCAATTTAAAACATATTGGTTGCTGTTAACAATCAAGAAATTTATAAAATACCAGCTTATAATGAAAATTGCTTAAAGATCACAACCGCAGACCAATCATTGCATCAAGGAAAGTAATGTTAATTCATTTGTATCTCAGTTCGTTCTACTTTTGATGCTTTTCCGACGCATACTAATTACGAGAAGCTAAACTTTTATCGTGTACTTGCAATACTTTTTGCAATGTGTGTGCATGATGCACTCTAATTTTTTCGACCTCCAATCAACCAAGACTTCTTTCACGAAGTGTGTGATACAGCCCAAGGTAATGACTGGTATGAATGGTAATGTAATGGTAACCGATGGGAGATGAGTCATAATGTGAATAAGTACTTTCGCTCTCCGTAGGCAGGTGATGAGGAGGCGAGCATCTGTACGTGTGGCGTGATCAGTGCGCGTACATACTTGCGATTTCATTTATAAACTATCTCTATCGATTTACATGCATCTTACACGTGATATAGTATCGCGCAGAATATTATTTTGTCTGAAAAACACATTTTTTGGAAACTAAAGTAGTAATAAATTATATCTGTGTTGATAAACTCACGATTCGAGTAAACAGTTATTGGGTTCGCATTCCAGTTCGGTATGCGGTAAAGTAAATAAAAGGAAAAGGTGAAAGAAAAATAATAATAATATTAAATTGATAAAACTACATGATACTTAATATAATTATAACTACAGATATATACATACATATTTATATATACGATTAATACCTAAATATGTATATACAATAATAAATACCACTATACCAACTTAAGAATACTATAATAAACTTGTACCTAAGCAGTGAGGAGATTTTAAAGAAGGATGATGATCGCGTCAATTATGTGTCACTTAGAATTAATGTTTTATAACTTTATGCTTGATGATTGTGGTGTTGCTTTCAATCACGCAACACTGTTAATTCTCATGATACCCTCAACAATGCCCTCTTGAGTCTAGACCCAACTAGTTTACAATGAAACATTTGAATATCAAACTATATTTATGACCTGTTCTTTGTCAATTATTAGTGTAAATTAAGTAACTTATTGTACGCAGATTTTACTACGAAAACTGGCTCGAAATCTCGTTGATGTCTAAAGTACGAACGATATATGAATTGTACAATGACCCTTGGTAGATGGGCTCACAATAATGTTATGTGTATGAAATTAATAGTGTCTGTCGAGGGTAGGTCAGCCCAATGCCTATAATTGTTACGGAAACTGCTCTAGATGTTATATATAGGAAGGGCAACTGCTTTCAAGAATAGGCACTATGGAATTGGAATGCTCGCCTGGGGAAGCAAATTCCTTCTCAAAAAGAACCAAAGTATATTGATACTGTCTTTTAGTAATATTGTGCTACTACTGGTGAGTTAGGTTACAGAGTTCCTCGGGGTAGGCGATTGAGTTAAGGCTAAGAATCACTAGAGTAGTACATTTTGCGGTCGTATCAGTAATTTTTGCGACTGGACTCCACTCACAGGTAACATCAACTGGGGAAGAGTAATTAGCAGCGCTCCTTATTTAAAAAAAATAGTATTAAAATTTTACAAAAACAACAACATTAAATATAGTTTTACGAGTAACACTCGAGAGTCAGGTACGGCACGTCAGGGGCATTTTCTTTCGCGTACGATTAAGCAGTGAAATGGAGCTCCCTGTTAAAGTTCTCCCGAAAGAATACTGCGTGGATTACAAACAATACAAAAGAGGTGTGAAAAAGTTTTCTAAGGTAGAAAAAGCGCGTCTGATAGTCCTGGTGCTGCAGACGTCAATGATGGGCCACGATGACCGTCTACCAACATAGGCGGATCATGTGTAAATATTACAGAAAAAACTAAGCATGTGATTATCTGCAGTGCTTTTCTGTAAGTACAAACTCACTTTACACCGCGGAATATGCGGAGTGATTTGAAATTTCAACACGAACTTCAAATCAATCTTCAAATCTTGAGATCTCGAATCATCCTCTCTCGAAGAATCTTGAAGCATCGAGTTGTTCTTACAGAATATCACTATGATATTTATTCGCATCGTTTTAGATATCGGAGAAAAACTGCATAATTGAAATTACACAAGGTACGAGAAATTCTTTCGCGAAAGTTACTAATTATTTTATCATTGATATAAAAATACTCAGCAGTTATACAATGAAAGCCTATAAAATAAAAATATAGTGTCGATGATATAGATATATATAGGAAGATAGATTGTTGACCTTTTTGTAACGATGTGAGAGCTGTATAGTAAAATTTCTATTTAATTGGTTTATAAAACTTCATGGCTTAAATGTGATTTTCTAGTGATTGTGTGTATCTAATAAACAGAAATTGGTTCTTTCATAATAATCACTTATGTACTTAAATACCACCCCTACTATGCGAGATAGATTTGTAGTAATGTAATAAATTTTAATCTATGTAAAGTTAAAAATAATTGTTGGTGACACATATTATAACAATCAATGGGTAACCTTATATGAGAGCAGTTCTAATTTTGTACAAACAAAAAATATATGGAATAAAGAAATATTTGTTTTTTGTTTTTTATTTGTAATGATTATAGAGTGTTTATATAAATCTTACTATCACTATCAACACAATTTTGGCAAATTATAAAAAAATACTGTACGCTATAAGATTCGATTCGAGTCATTACTGAGAAACACTTGGGACTAAAATTGGTATTGTATTAGTGTTAGAAATTTACAATCCCAATCACCATAAATCTATTAAATTACATGGCTTATTGTGTTATGTATATTATAACTATCACAAAGAATGTGACAACACAAATATTATATTTCATGCATGCAAGCATGTAACTGCTAGATGCTTAAATTTAAAGAAAATTTTACTAGAAAAAAATCTACGCGGGCCAGACAGCAGACGGGACTCGAACCCGCATCCTTCGCTATCCAGGCGAAAGCACTGACCAATATGCTATCACGGCTCTGACGGCCGTGTCGAATTTTCTCTAGCCTTTCTTAAGCTTCAAGGCAGCGCCATCTCTTCGCATTGTAGATAACCAACAGCAATGACAATAAATCAAAACATAAATATTATTCAAATTTAAAAGTTTATTGACATGTCTGAGTATGTCATAGTCTAAGGCCCATATTAGTCCTGGCATCCCAGCTCCTCCAGAAAGCCCAGCAGCTCCCAGATTTTGCTGCAGGCTTCTACTAGTATCCGTGGATTTCCCAGTAAAGAAGACCGATGTCTTGCAATGACTCTACACTCCAGCAGAACGTAGGCGCTCGTCTCTTCCTCCCCTAGGCAGGCTCTACACAGAGGCTCTACAAACTTTGCTCTCTTATATTACGTTTTCGTTAACGGCGCTCCAATAATCTGAATATAAAAATAAGAAGCTAAAAACAATCAAACAATTATTTATTCAAATTGTAAACATAATGCAGTTGTTTTTAATAATTCAAATATTTTTCCTATCATATGTATAAAATTGGACATAACGGTCAAATAATATGCAATAGGTCACGAATTAATTAATATTACAACGAAACTGTTTGAATATCAAACGAAATCAGACTATATTTATGACCTGTTATGTGTCAATCATTGGTGTTAATGAAATAACAAGTTGCGCTCAAATTTTTTGCCACGAAAACTATACCTGAATCTCGTTGATGTCTAAAGTATGAACGATATGTATGAATTGCAAGGGGCAAATAAAACTTCATTCACATGGATATTGAAAGATGATCTTTATATTATACAGTAGAAGGAATAAACAAGATCTAGTCCACACAAACCAAAAGATTTTTTAAGAAAAATATTGTTTTGTTTTGTTCAAACATTTTAAAATCACTTTAAAAGCTATTTCAATGCGTGCATTGAATTAACTGTTGACAATATTTTACTTAACTACTTAAGATTTGTTTTTTGTTATGCGAAAATTATTTCGCCCCTACTCTCAACTAAAAATTTGTCTATCACTCCATTAATTAGCTAAAATATAAGTCATTAAACTTAATAAATCATTGCAAACAACATGACTCAAGTTTTCCAACACTAATAAAACTTGTTTACGTCAAATCAGGTCACTGTTATGGCACAAATAATTAATAACTAATTTGGGTCGCCTAATGGGAGTTTCGTCACGGGATCGCTCCACCCTGCGCTGCGGCAACGCACACCCTGCGCGGGCGCCACTTTCCACCGGCGACGCGTCCACCCGGTATAAAAGCCTCCGGAGCCCATTCACCCGCCCGCAGTCAGTGCTCGAACGTCACAGTGTTCACATCCAATCGTGCCAGGACTTTTAAATCAAACATGAATACGCGGTGTTTACTAGTGCTCGCGGCCGCCCTCGGCGTAGGTACGTACCAACCAAATATTTAGGGCGCGGCGCAGAAGTGCGAGGAATTTTCTAGATTTACAGACCAAAGTCGAAGTGTGATAGGTTTCTAAAATGACCGTCGCAACACAGTGTTGAGAATAGAGAAATTGCAGCCGATAATGTGGTAACTGTTACGATTTGGTGCGCTCTCACACCAATCCACATGTGACGAAACGCGCTGCAACCGCCCAACCAACACTTGCTTCGCACTTCATCTAATTTTTCCTGTCATATTTTTCTCGGAGATAAACTTTTTCATTTGTCCACTTTGTGAGATTCATATGAACGACTTGTGTAGAGTGCAGTCTATGCAAGGAAAGTGTGATATCTTTGCACACTTTCACCTATCATCTCGTTATCACTGTGTTTGCATATTATTTTATCCTGAGGAATTTATACTGATTTGAAATAACGCAAAGAAACACTTTATGAATTATCGTCTACCTACTTGTGATTTTTCCTTAAATTGATGACTAATTACATCTGCTTATATAGTGATTACTTCGGATTTTAATGGCATGTGATTTAAAAGCCTTGTAATTTAAAAAGGTCTAATTATGAATTGACTAATGGTTATGTGGGATGTGGTACACGATCCAAACGACTTGATTGTTGCACAATCAGCCACAGGGTGTATTAGCATAATTTTCGTAACATGACCCCGAGGCTAACATAAGTGGGTTGTAGGTTAAAGTGTTCGAATCACTTTCGTTGAAACTGGTTTATTTGTTAATTTAACACTCCATTACATTATTTTCATTCGGTTTTCAAATTTACAAAATCTATTTTTTATTCAGTCTTCAATCAAGTTTTTTTAATAATATTGAAATTTCATAGATTTAAGTGTAAAGTCGTAAACATAGTTCGAGACAGCATTGAGAAACGTGACCTACAATGAGCGTTCAACGACCTCATTCGAAACATGACCATTTAAGTATCATCGTCTTTGCCGTACATTATTTAAAAAAATCGCATGAGCAGCCTCTTTCAATGTGTTAGACAATTTATTAACATACTATGTGCTATTGTTTGGAATTACTTACACGTTCGCAGTTCCCACGCTAGGTGTTGCGTAAACATTAAATAATTCTATTTCCAATTCTTTCTTTTGTTGATTTGCTACAATCGAAGGTATTTGATGGTCTGCTACTAAAGGTACATAACACAGGAGAGTACATTTAAAATTCATATAGTCTTTAAAGTGTGCGTGTAGGTATTCCATTAGACAGTCCGTTGATGCGTGCGCGTTTTCACGAGAAAACTCCGTGAAAATAACTCGGCTCCAGTGCGCATGGCATTGTAGACCGTTCGTGATTATTTATATTTATTGAGTCACGGTGAAAATGAGAAGAAATTTATATAATAAGGTATTTGCTTAATAAGGTAAAGAGAGTTATTTTTTTAGAAAGAAATTGAACACGCTTAGTGCAAAACTAAATGTATCGCGGAAAAACAAGCATTAAAGATAAATTCAACAGTCTGACAAATGGTAAACGTTGAAGAGGGGTAGTATAACATGGCCATATATGCTAGTATATTTTGACGTAATATTTTCAAAACTCACAATTTGAATAATTACATGTATAATATACCCATAACTCCAGATTTTATCAGCAAGAAGATTAAAGTTTGGTGATATAATACTTTCTGTTGGATTTTATTTTGCGTATTCGTAAATGCATAATTTTACTTCAAGTTAGAAAAGTGTAATTTGTATGACATATTTTTTTTGCTGAGATATAACTTATGCTTATGATCACGTAATAAGTAACTATGGTCATACAATTGTAATATCAGTTGTTCAGTGTACTAATACAGTTTATGTTGGCTATTGAATCTAGCGGGCCTTTTAAGTAACTGACGTAATTGATTTGATGAAATGACGCTGTAATTAAAATGATTTTTTGGATATAAGTAACACACTTCATGTCCTGGTAAATCAAGTTGTGAAAGCTTTTGGGGAGAGGTTTCTATTTAATGACAATTTTTAACAAATAATTATTAAAATTTTATATTTGATGCATATGACGACCTCCGTAGCCGAGTGGTTTGTACGCCGGATTTCATGGCGTCGCCGACTCGAGAGGTCCCGGGTTCGAATCCCGGTGGGGGTAGATGTTTGTGTGATGAACGCTAGCATTTGTACTCCAGTCATGGATATTTAATATGTATTTCTATATAAATATACTTATATATGTAAAGTATATGTATCCTATCCGTTACCCTAGTATCCCATAACACAAGCCTTATAGTGCTTACTTTGGGGCTAGGCTAATTGGTGTGAGTGTTGGAAATATTTACTTATTTATATTTGAATGTTGATGACGATGCACTTCACGTTTACTAATGTTTTATCATTCATATATCATATGAAATATACGTGTTCACTGAAAGTAAAAAACCTCACTCACTTCCACTTTCCATATAGAGGTTACATTAAGGTCTTATTAATTATTTAAGAGGTCAACCGCCGGAAGTACCGCTGTTGCATTTAATGATTTCACTGACAAACAATGCAGCGGAAACGATATTTAGAAAATGAAATATGATCTCACATTTATCCCACGAGACAAGAAGACTGCAGTATTCACTAACAATACGTTTATGTATTTTTGCTAGTATTTCGAATTTAGAACAGACAACTAGGTAACGTTTTTCAATTGTTGTGATGTTGAGACATGAAATGATAACACGTAATTTGAAATGAGACACTTATTTTACTTATTTTGACATTGAAGAACTAATTCAATTAGCTTATTACATAAGTGGGTTAAAATGCATTTTCAGTTCACTTAGGCTTTCTTCATATTCGGTTAAATGAAAACTAAACTTTACCCAATCTTTTCAGAACACATTTAACATTACAGTTATAAATAAACGTTTGTTATTCTGAATCAAACGTGCGTAACATTAGCGACGAAGTCATTTCTTTTGAATGTATTTTTTCCTCATGTCTAAGTGTAGTTTTGTTCATTTGAGACCGTATAGTTTTGTTTATTTGAGATCGTGCTTAATTTAAAAAGTAGTCTGTATAGTAAATATTTAACATTGAAAGCACACAGTTGAGGATTTATACCATAAAGTCAACATTCCCGAAATGGCAATTGTGAAAACGATACTTTGCACTATTCACTAATTGATGTTGATTATAAAGTTATTAGTTATATTATGTGCAATTATATAATAGTCTTGTTTTAGTATTATTATGGCAACAGTTTTTGAGTCATCGTGAATGAGAGGAAACGCAGTTTCAAGAGTAGATATTGCTATTCGCCGGTGATTGTCTGACCTTCGGCTGGCGACGGTGTGAGGTCTCGTTGGCCCTACACAATGTGTTGTTTTGTTTTTTTTAGAGACATCGTTTACCGGTTAGAGAGGTACTTGTGACCATATCGGATCCCTTGTATTTATTTACAAGAGGAATTTCGTGCTGCTTAAAATAGACGTCTGAGTCAGCCAGAATAATCCTACTTATTTTCTTTTTGCTTTAATACTGTCAATAGAAGATGTCGAACAGCATGATTTTTTTACTGTATTCTTTACAACATAGGTTAGTATCAGTTCTTAGACTATAAGTAAAGGGAGTAAAATTCTTACGCACCTGTGCCACGCGATACCTTTTTCCTACAGTAAAATTATTGTAATACGACTGCGACTATAATACTACTAGATTATACATAATTTGTCAATGAGAAAATAAGTAAGGTCTGGCGGTCCAGAGATCTTACTCTAATAGATTTTTTTTCTCTTTATTTAACAGGGATTTTGTATGTACATTTATACTTGTCAGTCCCATCGTGACTGTAAGATATTATGTTAAAAAATCCATCGTTTTTGTAATTAAACGTGGAGAACTGTAATTGACCACCTGCAACAAATTTTTTTCGTCAACTGTATGTTTTTATGAGCTGTTGGTCTCCCAAAAATTAAATAAATATATTAAACTTTTTGCTCCGAACTTGAAAATCAAAAAGACTCCTTAGTAGGTGGGCTCTGAAAGAAAGCAGTGGAATATCCCAACATCAAGTTTTACTCTAATAGAGTTAACTCGTAATTTTGTTTTGTAAAATCGTAGCACCTGTCTCGGGAAGCAATCTGCACCTTATAGAAGACCACAGTTAACTATCACTAGCTTTTGATTGAGTTGTGTTTCTGTTGGTTAGTAAGGCAATGGGCTATTTAAATACGACGACTAAAGACACTTTCGACACCAGAAAAACTGAAGAATTTAACTACAGTTTTCAACTAAATTTTTTCGACAATAATTAATCTTCATAGATCTTTTTTTTCAGATTAAAAACTGAATGGTTAGAGGATACGCTTTACTTATAAAACAAGTTGGTCGAAAAAACAATCTTTAAAAAAATATGAGCGAGCCTTACAGTAGTCGCGTATGATGTGTAACATTTGAAACCTCACCTTATATTAGTAAAAAAAGAAATAAAACCGAATACAAAAGGAATTAGCTATTTGAACATTATGTTCTAAAATCAAATCAAATAGCGCGCGCTTTCGCGACTTCCTGTTACACACTTCCGTCCCATTTCACGAAATCACCCCACAAATTGCAGGAAAGCGAGAGGAAAGATGCTAGACATCAAAAACAAGTTATTATTGTCTTGACATAATGTACCGTTTTTAACAGTATTCAGTGCCAAAGTATAAATGTTTACATGTTTATATCGTTATTGCGTAAAAGTTTCACATTGCGTTCGCACCTGTCATAGAGCCGAGGCGAATTCTTATGGCTCTATTTAATTTGTTATGTCATATTTCAAAGCACTCTGGCTCGGAGACAGTTATAGTACAAAGGGACTCGTTTCGCACACTCATACTCGTTTTTTCTTCTCTTTCTGTAAACATTAAATAGGCGTTTTCATAAGATACATTAAAATTAATGTTCGTTCTTAAATATTTTTAACTATAAGTTGATCTGCAATGAACATAGTTGATTTTGTTTATATTTTTTTAGTAAGGGC